GCTAACATGGCGCTAGAGGAAAAATCAGCGGTTCATGAAAGACATTACGATTCATCCTCTGGGAACCAAGAATGTCTATCACATTTTTGCCAACCCATCGAAATGTTAACCTGCTGGTGCTAAAGGAGAAGTCGGGGATCACTAAAGTCATTAGGCTTTATCCTCTGGGGTGAATGTCTCTCATGAAAGTCTACAAAATATCATGACGATCCACCAGCAGTTTCTTTGGACTAAAGTGATGGACTGACAGACCAATCACTAGCATGGCTAAGTGTGATAATAAACTCTAAAGGTGTTGAGCTACATAAAATAATGGAACTAAAATAAAGTGGAATGGAACACCGCTTCTACTACTGTCATTTCTCACTTCCTGCTTATCCATTATCTTCCTATATTACACTTACACATCACATTTTTTCACGTAACTTCTGTAATGAAACTTTTAATAACCTGTTTTTACCATGGTGTTACTTGCTAACCCCACCTCAGCTCCACCCAGGTTCATCCCTTTAGCCAAAAATTGACAAACATACAGTGGGTAGTAAACCTGAACATCAGGCTTCAAAACAGCTCTTCTGAAACCCACTGCTCTGCAGCCATCACAGTGATTCAGCATTCGTCGTCAGCGCATCTTTAAGACTAACCTAAGGGCAAATAAAGTGAGAAGAAATGTTCCCTCATTTCATGTCTGACTGTTGAGCCAGGCACTTGAGATAAAAGCATCCAGTGAAAGGCAAGTCTGTGTGTGCGTGCGTAAATGTTTGTGCAGTGTTGCTCACGTGGGAGACATACTGTAATATGTTGTGTAAGTTGACACCCATGTGCTTCATGGGTGGGACACCTCCTCCCCATCCGGCAGGCATTTGTTACTGCAGCACAATGACACACAACCAGAATGCCACACAAACACACACACACACACACACACACACACAGGAAGTGTGCGTACAGAGTGGAGCGCCGGCAGAAATGAATGACTTTGTCAGCTGTATGCTGTTAACCAGGCCATTTGACATTGATCTTTTCCTGACCCAGAACATCTCTCCCTCAGACACACACACCCCTATCCATTTTGTTATTTTTGCTTAATTGTCATGCAAGTTGTGTGTTAGAGAAGCAACATTTTAGAAACTTATTACACAAGATTTATGTACAAACCCTCACCATCATACCGACTTGTTTTTTTTAGCTTTTCTTGGTGTACTTGGTGAGTTAATTTATTCAGAGAAGTCAACAGATCATTTTTTTTTTTTTAAATCAAGAAAACACCTTTAATTGAAGCAAAAAAATAGTACAGAGATGGGCAGTATGAATCCAATAACAGATAAATAGTAGTAGTTGAGATATCATCTTTAAAAGTCATATGTAAAATTAAATCAAAAGTGCACTAATTAACTTATTTTGCTAAATTAAGAAGATCAGGTTGTGAAGTTGTTTTGTGCAGTTGCTAGGGCATCATTAGGTGCTTGCTAAGTGGTTGATGTAGTTCATTAAGTTAGCTATTACTGAGACTAAGAATCTACTGCATCTGTGAGACTGTTCTGCGGTTTAGAGTTAAATGCTAACCACAGCATGCTAATAGGCTCTAAATCACAATGCTGACATGCTAATATAGTTTAGGTAGTTCACATGCTAACATTTGGCAATTAGCACTAAACACAAAGTACATAAAGCAAAATAGATTTTAAATTTTGACTTGGTGATTTAGTTATAGATGAAGGAAACACCAAAGTTAATATAATTCATTGTGAAGGGGACATGAATGTCTGAGCCAAATTTCATGGCAATACAGCTTATAGTTGTTGAAACATTTCAGAACTACAAAATTAAACTTCATGCTGGTGCCACAGGAAAAGTCAGGAGAATACATGAGCCACGAATGTCCAAACAAAACTCTGTGCCCTTCATCTAGTGGATGTTAAATTTCCCGGGATATGTAAAAACTTGCTAGTGGCGCTAGAGGACAAGTCACGAGATATAGGGGCCGGCAACAGCAAACATGCTAAAACATCCCAAAACATTTCAGCTGCAGCGTGTTTCTCCTAATGGAAATGTTGTAGCACGTTTGCCCTTGTCGGACACCGTAAAGGAATCATTAGACAGTAGGATTCATCCTCATGAATGTGTGTCCAAAATTTCAAAGAAAGTCATCTAGTAGTTATTGAGATATTTGAAAAAAGTAGCAGTGGACCGACAGACCAGACCGACAGACAGACATTGCCATCCATAGAGCAACTAGCATGGCTAAATAAAAGGAAACTAGGCAATTATTTTTTTCTACCCGAGTACAACTTGCTTGGCTAGGCGTTTGCTGGGTGTTTGGTAGGGCAAGACTAGATGGTTGGGAAGGTGTTTTGCATGGTTGTTAGGGCATCATTAGGTGATTTTTTGAGGTTAAATTAACAAAGAAGCTGTATACAAGTGTAAACAAAATTGAAAACTGTGGCAAACGCCACAACACAGTACAAGCTGTGACCTCCACATTTTGATGAATGACTTGCAAACAGTGCACCTCATTTAGATTATAATAACTTCAGTCTTTAATGGTCTCATGTCTGCACTTGATGAGGATCCCTCTGTTCAACAACTGACCAACACCGAATGGATTGTGGACACAGAGACCTGTGAAAGACACAATGATTGTGTCTTCCTAAGAAAGACAAAAGATAGCTGATTTTAGAAAAGCATTTGAAACGGGACTGTTGTCATCCTGTCAGCTATTTTTTAATCAAATCAAACAGACAAATAAAGGACAGACAAAATTTAGTTTACATGGAAGTAAAAAAAAAAGTATTTTTTTATTTTAGATATTCACGTTTTCTTTGTCTTTGTACCTCCTCAGTGTGTCTCTATCAGCAGTTTGTTTCATCTCAGATATTTTCCTCAACAGGAAACAAAGTCCCCTCCCCATTAGGGGCCAGTGTCCGGTTACTTTAATATGTGTGTGCGCAACTTTGTATTCCTACGTTGGTGTGTCTTGTTATAGTCCGGATGGTTGCAAGTTGCTGAGTAAGGGCACAGACCAAGAGAAACAAAAGCACACACGCACACATGCATGAGCATCCACTCACTCACTCACACACACACACACACACACACACACACACACACACACACACGGACAAAGAAGAGGTTCATATTACAGTCATGCAGCATATTGTCAGTGATGTCACTTGTCCTTATGGAACGAATGAATGAATGAAAATCTCCTCCCTCTCCCTTTTCTCTTTTGGCATGACCACAATCAAGTCAACACATTACATCACTGTATAAGCTGCTCCACAACAGATTCACAGCATGGTCTGCAGTCAGTAATGAGCATAGACTGTATATAAAAAGTGGACGTAGTCATCGTGACGTCACCCGTTGGTTTGTGGACTGCCGTTTTGAAGCTTCGAGTTTGGCCGATAGGGCGGCGCCATTTTGATTTTTTGCAACCAGCGGCACCGGACGTGACCATATTTGGACGAGACTTCTTTTTGCAACCAGAAGAGTCGCCCCCTGCTGACTGTTTGATAGAATGCAGGTTTAAGGGACTTCCTCGTTCGCCTCAGGTCACTGACTGGAAGCTTCCCACTTGGTTATAAGACAGGAGTCAGTGGTACAAATAATAAATGAACTGGTGCTGTGTTCGACATCCACTTTACTTTTGCCTCAGTGGTTAACTTGGTATTGACCAGTAAACAAGGTTATAGGCCGCATAATAACCATCAACACTTCATCTTCACCACTAAAAGGTGTCGTGTCCAAGCTTTTTGTTATGAGGCCGTCATGCTGGTCATGTGATGCCCACCAGCCCTAAAAAGACTGCATTAAGGGCTGTAAATAATGAGCACAATTTTCTAAACCCTCTGCAATGAGGCTTTGTACTATGAAGTTGGGCCATTAAATAAATAAAATGTTATTAGACTAAGAGCTATTGGTAAATCATTTTCATGCCATTCATGTGAGCGAAGAGTCAGCAGGAAGTCAGCCAGCGATGCTTGTGAGGGTTTGCTAATATTACCGGCAGCTATGTCACCGTTTCTAAATTCCAAAAATATTTTGGTATTCGTCACCCTGACAGTTATTAGTGAATCCTCTGTGGCAAAGAGCGGTTCAGTCAATGTTGCACTTTTAATACTTAGCGTGGCAACTGCACTGTTGGGCTGGTTCAACAAACTAAATATACCTCAGAGTCTTGGCTATTTTGTCACGGTTGAGGAGGGAAAGCAGAATTCGGCTTATCTGACATGCATACAAGGCAGACTACTGTCGCTGGCTAGCAGTAGCATGTTATCAGTTAGTTTGCCGACTTTTCCCTCCAGTAGTCACTACGCAACCACTTATTTTGTGAGGAAGCGCAAATTTCTTATTTCCATTTCTGCTTTCTGCTCTGACCAGGAACAGGTCATGGGTCAGAAAAAAGAATAAAGAGAAACTGTACAGCCAGATCCAAAACTGAATATAATGTGGACCTGTGAAGTCCTTTTTTCTTTTACAAAGTAATCCAGAGCACCACCACGACAAACAAAAATAAACACCTCTCTGATAAAGTGTCAAATGACAAAACTATTCTTAAAGTCAAATGGTGGAAACTCTGGTTGAGCTTTAAATAAACTAAGCTAGTTTAAATAAACGGGTTGAAAATAAAATAAATTAGTGAAAATGACACCTCCTCATGTTAAATTCATCTGTTAAAACAAAGTTACCTCAAAGGATGAACATTTGTTTTGGTAAAGCACAGGCTTCTGCCCAGTCATGTTCATAAAGCAGAACTGAAGTCAGTTGAATTCAGTGATGGGAGAGGGAGGGGTAGAGAGAGAGAGAGGAGGAGGAGAGAGAAAAGGAGGAGGAGGAGGGATTGGGGTGTGTGTGTGTGTGTGTGTGTGTGTGTGTGTGTGTGTGTGTGTGTGTGTGTGTGTGTGTGTGTGTGTGTGTGTGTGTGTGTGTGAGTGAGTGTGAGAGAGAAAGAGAGAGAGAGCGTGAGAGGGAGGGAAGTGCATCCAGCTCTCAGTCATTCATCTCTCGGCCACGGAGAGCAAACTACAGCAGGACGGGAAAAGAAACAGTTTGAGCAAAAAAAGGAAGTTTTTTCTTTAAAGTTCTGCGTTCAGTCTCACTATAGACGCCTCTCACTCCAACCTCCCGCTGCACATTTCCTTTTTATCATCACTTCCTTTAGCAACCAAAAATACTGTGCTGCTGCAAGTATTTCACATCGCTCCTTCTACTCTGCATGGAGGTACTTTCACTTCTTCGCCTCTTGCAACCGAGGGCACTTTTCTCTCTCTGAAAACTGCATGTACGATATCAAAACGCCAAACCTGTGCCTGTTTTGATAAGCATATCTTGCAACTTGAATGTCTTTACAACTTGGACAGAGAGAGTGGAGCAAGCATAAAGGAACTGGTTGGTTTTTTTGGGAGGTGTCTGAGGAGGTGACTTCAGGAGGACGCACCAGGATCAGAGCGCTCCTGGAAGAGCTCCGGGAAGAGGAGGAGGAGGAGGAGGGTGCGTCACACTGAGAGAAAGCATCCTCCCAGCCTTCTCACTCTCTACACACACACACCCTTAACACAACGGGGCCACAGTAATCTTAAAAAATTACTGTAGAGGCAAGAATTTTAGCTAAATAATCACCTGCAGTACCATAAAGATTAAGACGTGAAAAAAAACAAAAAAACAATCACACAAGAGAGAGAAATTCATCACTGGGTTCCACAGACATACTACAAGTGATTAAAGAGATATTATAGGAATATTGTAGAGTTTATTTGTCAGAGGCACGCGCACACACGGACACCCAGGACGCCCAGCACGCCGCCGAAGAATGGATCTCCCTCCAATCAGAGGTAAGCATAAATTCATCCTGTCGCCATCCAATCTGCTGATGAACAATTGATGATTTGTCTGACCTTGGAATGAGTTCCATTGGGAATTGTTTTTGATGAAATATGGAATTATTCAAAAGATTTGTTCAGCTTTGCAAATAGCCTTTGCATCTTGGAATGGGATTTCAAGTGTTTTACTTCATATTCAGGCAGATTTTCCCTGCAGAACAATACTTATAACTGCAAATTTAATGGGAATGTGTTCCCAGCGATGGGACATACACTATGGCTCTTTAAGTTCTTAAAGGCATACTAAAAGAAATCTCACAAGCGGTCCATAGAACTGAGTGGGATAATATGGAAACCTGATGCAGATGGACAGGATGTTCTCACCAATACTTTGCATCTAGTTTTGCTACAAATTTGGGCTTTTTTTGAATTAACACCAAAATTCATTTTTGGGGGTAAATGTTAAGATAAACTTTTACGTTTTTGTTTTTTTTTATTGGTCGGATTTACTTCTCCTGTTCAGACATATTAGAAGAAAAAGATGGGTCTAATTATCTTACAAATTAGCAATCTTGTGAGATCAAGCAAAGATGGACGGTTTATTTCCCTGTCAAACAGACCGAGCAGGTCCCTCTCAGTTTCACCTCCCGAATCCTCTGCAGCTACACATGAGAGAGATAGATGAAGAGGACAGAATTGTTATAGGCATGGACCCAACTGATCCAAATCAGCAGCAGGAAGGTGCCTCCTCCTACCTTGTCACAATTTGATAGGTGTTCAGTTACGTGGTTGGTGAATCATTCAAAAAGATGAAATCTCACTTGGATATTTTTCTGTGCCTGGCCCATTTTCCATCTCTTGTCTTGGCTGGTGGGTGGGGAAATTTTTCAATGTTTCATGTTGTGACCTTTTTTTTTTTTTTTTTTTCCAAATACAAATTACTTCTCATCTATTTATTACTCAGTGTTCACAACAGTTATAATTCGCATTGTGCATTTGGGCCTGTGGATGGGTGAAGTGATGGATGTCTGTCTGCAAGCCTGTTAAACTGTAACCTCCTTTACCCCTGGTGGACAGATTTGTCCAAATGATTATTGTATTGGTAGTGAAGGTGAATAAGTCATGTTAACAGTAACATGCAATTTGTCTTTTTGCTGACTTTTGGAGTAAGTTGGGCTACTTTAAGCAAACTTTTGAATCACTTGGAGGCGTGAAAGAGCTCATATCCCAAATGGAACAAAGTGAAATAGTCATATTAACAGATTGTTAGGCTACATGTTAACATTTGTTTCAGTGTGTGTGTGTGTGTGTGTGTGTGTGTGTGTGTGTGTGTGTGTGTGTGTGTGTGTACTGTGATGGGGACACGTGGGGTTGGGATTGATTGTCCTCAAGGTCGGATGCAGAATGTCAATACCCATCTCCGCTGGGGTGGGACTAGAGGGGTGGGTGGATGAGCAAATGATGGGACGGACTGATGGGGGTGGGGGTGGGGGGAGCACAAGAAAGTGAATGGGATGAGAGTGAGAGAAGCAGTAGCGTTAGGCGGGGGGATTGACTCGGGATGATGAAATGGATGGATGGTGAGAGGGTTGCAGAGAGGGAGGGGATGAATGGAGATGGAAGGGGGTTTTTTTATGCCACAGCAGAGGAGCTAATGCACTGACTAATGCACTATAGAACCGCAAACATGTGGAAAGAGAGAAAAGATTCACAGTAAAAACACTTTGTAAAAAAGAAACAGCCTATACTGAATTTAGTATGAAAGAAAAAGAACAGTATGTCTTCATAAAAGTAATAATGCTTGACATTTTCAAAAATACATTAAACTATATACATAAAAGCTTTAGCATTTACTCTTCTACGAACTCGAAGTGAAGACTCTTAATTTCTAAACATTTGTAATAAATATAAAATGAGCTGGATAATTCTCAGGATGAGCAAAATTGTTCTTAAAAAAATTGCTTTTGTAAGAACATATAAAAGGCTGAATAAAAGTCCACCATGAATCTTACATGCTCACACCTGTATGTTATGTTTGTATTTGAGTGTGTATGAGCCATGCCATTTTAATTTGGATTACACAAAATAACAGCACAAAAATTTAAGTTGATGTCCGTTGACTGTCTTTCAAAAACAAAAAAAGCAAATACTCTACAGTTTCAATATTCAAGAAATTATGGAAATAAAGAGACAGTTGTTGCCATCAGTTACAGATTCATGGAAAGCAAAGTAAACAAAATGAACCTAGGTTAATTGACACACAATCATTCTCATCTGAAGTTTCAGAAAGTCCCGTCACACTCCTACTGCTGCCAAACTCTGAACTTGCAGAATGCCAATGTCTTCCAAAAGCTCCTGAAAATGACAGTTGATGTTTTTATTTTCTCCCTGCACAAAAAGTGAGAGAGATATGTTTTCCACCATGAAAGGGCCTAGATGGAGAAACTAGATCGCTCATGGTTTTTAGGTGCTTCAGGGATTAAGTCTTTCAAAGACTCCACCTGTAACACTAAAGCACAGTGGGAGCGTAGTGATATCAGAACTGTGGGAATCATCCACTTGGATAGTGCTTGTTTGACTTCTTCCTGCTGCTTGACACTTGTCGCATACCATAATTCCCCTAACACTGCACATGGAAAAACTATTTATTTATGAACAAAGTGGAAAGATACACTGCACCAATAACAGATGATTTTCAACTTTAATGTTTTACTAAACCCAAACTTAACCTTAAACATAATTAAATTTGCCTGAACATCACATGCTTATTTTTTGCTACTGTCGTAAAATCTGATGCAACTGTATTACAGGTTAACAGTTGCCAACTGCTTGTGTTTAAGCCAAAAACTTTTATTTAATTCAGTCCCATGTCAACAAGTATAGTATATTGTCTGGTTAGGGTTTCTCTATAGGTATTTACAGGACTCTTGGAATTACATTAATTAGATTATTATATAATAATGTGTATAATATTGCCAACATTCAGTGTCTATGCAGGAGGTGTTTGTTTTGTTAACTTACCAGGCTGAACTCAGTGTTGCTGTCTACTCTGGTTGAAAGTTTCAAGCTTGTTTCTGACAAATGTGCACCTGTAACCACACCCAACAGGGATGTCTTGGGGTAGTGGAGTGCACCTTACGTCACTGCAGCAAGGTGAGAAGTTAAACCACTGGAGGTCAGCAAAAACAAGATTTCCAGGGATTGTTACTCTTTAAAAAGAGTTTTGGCATTGTACATTCAAAAACATCTGGTGAGCAGGTTTTTATTTCTTAGCAGGGAGGGAGGACATTACAGACCAAATTTACACTGTGTAACTAAACATCTGAAGCCATTCTGTCACAATTCACTGCAACACGACATAGACGGCACTAAAAAGGGCTAAAATCCAACCGTTTAAGACATTTTGCATTTCAGTGTCTGGTTTTCATTTGTCCTTTGCTGTGAGCACATTCAGTAGAATTTCCCACTAGTGACTGAACCAAAACAGGATTTCATTTGTGCAAACATGATGAATCTATGGTCTTATCATTATTGTTTTTGATTTAGCCTAATGGGTACAGAGTTCCCCCCTAGGACAATATGGTGTTTTTCAATTTGGGTAAATGCGTCGTCAAATAATATCCAAACACGACTGCTGCTTTCTCCCCAGCTTGATCTCACGCTTTGCTTTGCTGTTGCTTGTTTTGACTGTTTTTATCTCCCTCTTTGCATCTGGCTCCACCACTTTCATTTTTTATCAGTATTAGTATCCCCATCCCTCACTCATTCACTGCCGCCTTCCTCCCTCCTCTCTTGTTCTCTCCCCCCTGCCTGGACTTGCTGGTCTGCAGTGTCTATTTCAGTCTTTCCGTTGGGGTCAGATTCGGCACATCCGGTATCTCATCCAGTTTATTGTCATTCAATCCTGCTGTGCTCCCGCAGGGCATCAAGAGGAAGGCCCATGGGTCTTAGTGCCTGACGGGCCTCAAACACACAGTCATATACTCAGAAAAGCTGGCAGCACTGTAGTAAAATGTTTTGACCTAATGATATTGCTGGTTTAAAATGCGCTTATACACAACTAATGAGTATTATTTTTTTTATGTGACTTGATTGGATTTTATTCATTTCATGTGTTATTTTACCACAAGCTTTTTGTGATGAATTAGCACAATAGTGACGGCCCGGTCAGAATTTAAGAACTACAGTCTTTTACTGCTGTCACACTTGATGACACTACACACCAAACAAACATGTTTTTCATCTCAGTAAATCAAAAGTAAACAACTTTGATTCCTACATAGAGACACTACCTGGGTCCTGAGTCTGAGACCAAATTATATTCAGTCAGATTGGGTTTTGTAAGGTCCTGGGTTTTTTGCTGTGGGTCTTTGGGTTGGGAGTTTTAGCTTACTTTTCCCAGTATATTTACTCCAACCCTATAGAGAGCCTAAGTCCCTCCCCTTCCGGTGGACCACCATGTGACCTTACTTCGGAAAAAATATGTATGGTAGCCAATTTAAAATATATATTTAAAAGTCAAGAAAGTCATGTTTGGTATAAAACTGTTGAGGTATAAGACTGTGAAAATACATAATTACAAAGACCACAAATCCAAAAGTCATGTATGTGACTTTTTCCTCTCAGTGACTGAAGTTAACGTTACTGAAGCTAATGCCAAAGAACTTAAATGAAAGGATGATGTGATAAAAAGACCAAGAGTCGTTTGATTAAATACATCAGGTGAGATATATTTCTGCGTTGAACATAGCTAAGTTTTCTAATTAGCAGCAACCAAGCAATAAAAGTTAGCTAGCATTACTGCGCTAACATGTCGGTGATGTCTATTGTGCAAGACGAGAGATGTGGTTCATTGAACAGTCTTCACACAAAACGACATGTAACTTTACCGTTTACAGCAAATAAGCTGTGGTTATTGTTACTAAAACACTTAATTTAGGTTTGGGAAGCTTGTGGTTACAGCTAATAACAGTAAAACTTTCACTTTGAAACGGTCATCCTCTTGACTGTCA